GTGCAGGCTGTCCCCCTCTTCCCTGTAGTGGAAGCACCTTTCTGTGTCCCTCCCTCGCTCCCTGCCCCTCCAGTGTTCCTTTCTTCCTCCCCCCTTCCTTTTCTTCCTCCCTCCTGTGTTCTCTCCTGCTCCCTCCCTCCTTGCTACTTTTCTTCTCCCTCTCCCTTCTTCCCCGTCTCTCCCTCCTTCCCTTTTTCTCTGTCCCTCCTCTCATCCTTTCTTCCCTCTTCTATTCCTCTGTCCTGCATTATTCCTCTTTTTCCTTCCTCTCTATTTCTTTTCCTTTTAGAAAGGGAAAAGCTACACGATCCTCTCTTTTTCTCCCATCCTCTCTCTCCTATTCTCCGTTCTTCCTCTCTCTCCCCCTCTTTCCAGGATGGGAACCTGAGTCCCTGGGTGAGTGGTTGCACCATTTCCCGAGACCAAGAGGCCAGAGGGAGGAGCAGGACGAGGGTTCTCTATGGACAAGTTACACCTGAGATGGAGTTTGGACACCAAATAGGGACCAAGGTGAAGACAATGTGTAGTGGGATTTGGTGAACGGTGGTCATTTAAACACACAGTGAGCCATCCCATAGTAACACAACCATTCAGATGAGGTGTGTGGATCATGGGAATAGTGTTGGCTCTGGAAGCCTTGGCTGGAGGTGTCAGCTTTGTCACCATCACCTTTCCAAGCCCCAGTTTCCTCATCAGTAAGATAAGAATCCCAACTGCCTCTCCAGGAGGAGCTGGGAGATGTTGAGGGAAAGCATTTGCAAAGCCCTGGCCATTCCTGCAGATGAGCTGTGGGTTCATCAGAGAAGCAAGAGGCTAACTATGGATGTCGGGAGGCTGTGGTGCCAAGGGGAAGTGCCTTCAGCTCCAGCAGGACAGAGGGGTCCCCTGGAATCATAGCTGGGAGACAGGTTTGACTTAAGAACTTTGCTTTTTCCTGGCGCTGGTGACAGAGGCTTAGATCAACATGCAGAGGGCAATTCCCTCAAGAAAGGGAGTGGTGATTTCCAAGACCCACCCTGGGGACGCTAAGAGAGAGTCTTGGCTTACCTGCTTGCATGTTGTTCCATATTTGTTTCCTTTTTTTTGATATTTCTGGTCTAGTGGAAATATAAACATAATGCCAGGATTTCAGCATTAACAAAACAATGTGGTTGTCGAAGCAGATGCAGGTTTGGAATTCACTGGAAGGAAATCAGACTGTGTGTGGAGTGCCTGGTCCTCCTGGAGCATCTCAGGGTCCCTGCAGGAGGGAAGGGTGTTCAACCCAAGGGGGGGGGGGAGAAGGACACGGACATCGGAGGGTGGAAAATGCTGCTGTTAGCATCATAGGTGCAGAGGCTCGCACCTGTAATCCCAGCATTCTGGGAGGCCAAGGCAGGCAAGGCAGGAGGATGCTTGATCTCAGGAGTTCAAGACCAGCCTGAGCAAGAGCGAGACCCCCCATTTCTGCTAAAAATAGAAAATTAGCCCTACCTGGGCGTGGGTTCCTATAATCCCAACTACTCAGGAGGGTGAGGCAGAAGTGTGAGGTTGCTTGTAAGCTAGGCTGACTTCATGGCACTCTAGCCTGGGCAGAGTGAGCGTCTGTGGTAAAATTGAAAGAGAAGGAGAGAGAGAGGGAGAGAAGACAGAAAGAGAGACAAGGAGAGAGGGAGGGAGGGAGGGAAGGAACAAGATGCTTCTGTCTTACACTTGTCAGCTCTGGGTCATCTGTTAGCTTTCAGCAAATGAGAGTCACTCCTGGGGAGTCCCACTTTCAGACCAGGGGCAGCCTCCAGCTTGTATGTTCTTATCACACCCAGTTCTTTTTCTTTCCAGAGCTAATCAAGCAGGAGATTGTGTTATTCAGTTATAATGAGCGGCTGAAGACAGAGCCCCTGTCTGAATATGCTTACCATTATATCCTGCGCCTAACGGGTAGTTAGTGCCAATCTTTATCTGCTGAATAATTGAATGGGATGTATGGATGGGTGAATGAATGAGTGAATGACAACAGAAGCTCCAGGAAGGAGGATGAGTGTTTTGGAAGGTCAGTTACTGTTCGGTGTAAGGCAGACTGTTCAAATGTAAGCATCAGCCAGTGATAGAAGGACACACTTTGAGAGATGCTAAACCTCCCAGCCTTGGGCACATCTAGGTGGAGGCCAGGTGCCCTCCAGCGGGATGGAGATGTAGACTAACCCTGTAGAACCTTTCACCTCTGAGAACCTATGGTTCACGATTCTAGATTCCTCGGAAGGGCTTAGGTGCTCAACGCAGAGGAGAGTTCTTTTTGCCAACACCTGATAAGTGACCCACACAGTTTGGGGATTTTTCTCAAAGTAACGTGGTTGGTATAATTTCTAATTGGTTCTGATTCATTACGGTTTTTCTTTGTGATCGAGTGATGAGGTGATGATGTTAATCGCATCCCACTCAGTCAGAGACACTGCTTGGGGTGATTTCTGTAACGACTAACTCAATCAGGTGTCTCCCTTGTGAGACAGACAGTATTATTACCATCCATATTTTACACCAAAGAGACCAACACACAAGTCATTGCCCAAGGTCATCAACTAAGAAGCGGTAGAAAAAGGATT